AAGAAAGAAAGAAAGAAAGAAAGAAAGAAAGAAAGAAAGAAAGAAAGCAAGAAAGCAAGAAAGCAAGAAAGCAAGAAAGTAAGAAAGTAAGAAAGCAAGAAAGCAAGAAAGCAAGAAAGAAAGAAAGAAAGAAAGAAAGAAAGAAAGAAAGAAAGAAAGAGGGGGAGGTGAGAGGACTGGGGTTGGGGGAAGATAAATAGAAAAGCAGTCATTCCTCTCCCTTGTAATCAGTCACAAATGGAGCTACTGAAACCTCTCAAAGGGGAATCACATAGCCACGTCACCCAATCATTTCCTGCCTTTTGCCCAGCAGGTTAATATGTGCTTTGGTCTAACCACTGAGGAACCTGTCCCCACCCCCACCCTCACCTCTTCCACAGACACAGGCCAAGGAAACACCAACCTTCAGCAAGGCCCGGTTACTCAGAAGGCAGTCCATCAGCACCGGCTCATATTTCTTGACCAGGGTGTCCCAACTGTGGTCACTTGCCATGATGCTGCTCTCGTAGCCTGAGGTAACTGAAGAGCCAATGGAGGAAGAATCCAGAGAACAGGAGATGGCTGCATCAGTATGCGTGAAAGAGAAAACCTCCTTCTCAGGCTGGGTACTGCTGGCCAGGAGTGTACCCACAGGGCCTTGGGCAGATCTGCAGTCGCAAGGCTGAGAAGCAAGCCTCAGGTCCTCACAGGCTCCTGAACTGCCCTGCCTCTTGACAGATTCATTCACATTGGTATTCTCTGTTCTTACATCTGTGGGACTTTGACAGGTACGCTCTACCTCCTTTGTGAGGAGGCAACCTTCAGCCTCTCCTCGCTCCCCAGCAGATCGCAGAGAGAGCCGTATGAAACTAAAACTTGAGTTAAAGACATCATGAGGGCTAGGTGGGGTTGTAGGGGTCTGCTGGCAGCCTACGTGGTCACAGGAGTTGTTTGCTTCCTTCTGTACCGAGGGGTCCTGAGTTCTGATGCCCTCAACCACCTCCCAAGGGTCTAGGGGGACCTCAGGCCTATGTGGGGGTGGAAAACTTCCCAAACAAACAGAGGCAGAGGAATCAGTAAGATCAGTTACACTGTCGGTCAGTTTGGTACTTGATCCTGGCTGAGACCAGAAATTTCCCGGTATACTATGCCCTATGACCCTGCTGCCTTTGAGGATGGGATTCCCAATTGAGGAACCAAAACCCTGTCTTATCAAATCCGAGTCTCCCAGTCTGGCCATGGTACAGGTCTTCAGCTCAGCCATTCCATCTTTGCTTTGGCCCAGCTCCTTCAGGTTGAATGATGGGTGAGCTGCAGCAGAAAGGCATTCTATCCGGGGCCTGGTGTCTGTCCTCATATAGCCAGGCCTTCTTGCCAACCTCTTCTTCTGAAAGGAGCCAGTAGGCAGCAACTGGCCCTGCTTACCTGAGAAAATGAAAGAAAATGACCCTATCAATCCATTAGTCTTAGCTGAAACTACTCTTGGGGAAGGTGAGGATTCCTTAAGCTTTGGGGAAAAGATGTCACAGATGTTACATATCCCATACCTTGGTGCAACTGGCATAGATTAGCTACTAGGCTGCACAAATTGTGAATGTGACCCAATATGGTCATTTTTACATTTGTATGCTCTTACATAAACATTTTCTGAAACTCTTCGCTTCAGAACATTCAGAAATACTATATATTTTTTTAAAGTTCCTATGCCTAGCAGAGTAAATGATCAGACTATTAGTTATGCCCCTAATTCAACAAAAGAACTCCAGCTGCCTACCTGTTGGTCCTTTCCCAGCTTGCAATGGAAATGGCAAACAATGGAAATCAACTCATCTGAAGCTGAAAAGTCAACATACTCATAAAACTGAAACTAAGACCATTCCCTGTGTCTACTTATTGGATATTACTTATGGAAAATGGAAGGATTTCAATTATTCAAATTCCAGGTTTCTCCCCTATTCTAGCACTTAAATAAGCATCAACTAGTTATAGACCAAGGAACTAGTGAGAGAAGTACATAAGTGAGAGAAGTACATATGACCACCTGATTAATGCACATTAACTTTTATATTCAGTGATGCCATTATAGAAGAGGGCTTCTTGAAAGTTTCTCTAACCTAGGGTTAAATTACCGTTTGGTATTGTTTGTTATGCCCACCTAGAGGCTCTTCATACAGTGTTGGGGCAGGACTTGAAAGCCATAGAGCAGGCACAAGTCTTACACAATCACACTTCAGAATTCAAATGAAATAGAAGGTATTAAGTGAAAAGTCTGGAGCAGCAATAAAATGTAAGGTGATAGTAGCAAGGTTAGGGGATAGGGATTAGACTTATAATTTCACTGGGAATTCCCAGAAAAGGAAACTCCCTTTTCCGATTAAAGACAATATCATATTTGCAGATTCTAATCTTAGAGTTTCCTGGAGCATAAAAAGGTTAAGATTCTTGACCAGTGTATAAGAAGTGAGACTTGAACCAAGGGCTTCCTGACTTGAGGACCCAGTTCTCTACCTAGTATGACAGTGATGGTGACAGTGACGGTGACGGTGATGGTGACAGTGACGGTGATGGTGATGGTGAATGGTGATGGTGATGGCAGCGGCGGTGGTGGTGGTGGTGGCGGCGGCGGTGGTGGTGGTGATAGTGATGATGATGGTGGATGGTGATGGTGAATGGTGATGATGATGATGATGGTGATGGTGATGGTGATGGTGATGGTGATGGTGATGGTGATGGTGATGGTGATGGTGATGGTGGTGATGGTGGTGGTGGTGGTTGTACTAATCAATGCTATTATCTCAAGGGTGATCTTTGAGACCTAGGTTTTCCTTTAGGACAGCTTAAGAACTATTAAACCAACAATTTTTAACCTTGTTAGAATTTCAGTACATCAGTGTCTGACTTTGTCAAAATTTTAAGGACAAAAAATCTGTGATATATTTATTTTTGTCATTAAAGTAAAAAATTATTTTCCCTTGGAAAAATTTTTAAAGTATAGCAACATTCTGGGTATTAATGGGAAAAAAATTTTAAACAGTCAGGAATCAATTCATCCAAATAACAAAAGCAATGATCTTTTCTCTGAAACATAGATTCTTTTGAAGTTTTTTACTATAAATTAGTTTTATTTTTAATTTATGGAATAAAACAAGCATTTTCATAACAGTACAATTAAAAAAGACAATTGTGCATGAAACCACAATTTGCTATTCCTTTCAAATATACAACAAAATTATCATGTAATTTTTTTCTTTCCTCCCCCACCCTAGAGATGACTACCATTAGACACAAATAGGTATATATGTAAAATTATTTTATACATATTTCTATTTATCAGTTCTTTCTCTGGATGCAGATAGCATCTTTCTTCATAATGTCCTTCACAGCTAATTTGGGTATTTATAATAGACAAAATAACTTATTCATTCAAAGTCGTCCTTAAAACAGTATTGAACTTAATACTTACTAGCTGTGTGGCCCTGGGCAAGTAACTTAACCCGATCACCTCACCAAAAGCAAAAAAAAAAAAATATTGAAATATAGATTCTTTTGTAACATTTCATGATGTAATGTAAGAAAGTTCATTAACCAACCCTGCACCAAAATATTTCCCTAGTCAAGCATCTCTCTGTCTCTAGATTAAATTCGGGGGTATTCAGTCAGGCTTTGTCTCAGGAAAGGTGAAGATAAGCACTGGTCTCCACAGTGCTCCTGTCTAGTGGCAGGTCACAGGATGCTGACCCTGGCAGGCCAATGGGCAGCACAGTGAGGCTGGCATCTGGCCAATTTGGCAGCGATGCCATTTGTGAGCTGTTAATGCAAGAGCCAGGGTAGTGATTAATCTAAGAGAGGAAAAATGAAGTGGAACCGATCTACTCATTTAAAGTACCTCCCTCGTCACACACACACACACACACACACACACACACACACACACACACACAGAGGACCTCTCAAATCACTAATAGTTCTGATACGCTTTTTCGGCTTCCAGATAAAACCTGCTATAAATATGGGGTTCTACTGTAAAAGACTTCTATAAGTCTCTGTGATAGGAATCATCCATTTATTGGAAACCAAAGATCTACCAGTCCTCCAGAGAAATGATCGCCAGAACATTCCAATTCATTCCAATCCAACATTCTAAAACTTCTTGCAAGTGCACACTTATGTAAATTTTAGTTTGGCATAGGCTTGGCCTACACACAAAACTCTGGGTAACTCATCTATAGCAGACTGTTAAGACCAAGACACCAAGAAGTTCTATCAACACCAGGTCACCATATGATAATGCCCACCCTTCCCTCCTACCTTTCAAATCCTCACAGAAGCGTAGAATTTAGAATTAGAGGGGATGCTGTAGCTCATCAAATCTAACTATTTTATTTTATAAATTAGAAAACTGAGGCCAAATGAGTTTAAAGAATTACCAAAGGTCATAAAAATGTAATAAGCATTATAATATAACATAATCATGTAATAAGGAAAAGTAAAGTTGGGGAACAAAACAAGTTTTTATTAAGTGCTTACTATGGGTTAGGCATTGCACCAAGTAGTTTACAAAGTGCTTTCATTTTATTCTGACAACCCTGGGAGGTAGATGCTATTATTATCCCAATTTTACAGATGAAGAAACTGGGACAAAGAGAGGCTAAGTGACTTGCCTAGGATCATACAGGTAAGCGTCTGAAGTCAAATTTGAACTCAGGTCTTGCTGACTCAAGGCTCAGAGCTCTTTCCACTTAACTGTCTAAGTGAGAAAGCCAGGATTCAATTCAGTTCCTCTAATTCTAGACCCAAAGCTCCTTTCATTAACCTATTAACTAATCAGCAATTTATTGAATGCTATGTGTTTGTGTACAATGTGCAGCTTGTGGTACAATGGATAGAGAGCCAACCCTGGAATCAGGAGAACCTAAGCTCAAATCTGGCCTCAGATTTGAGGCCAGTGTGATCCTGGGCAAGTCATTTAACTTACTGGCTGTGTGATCCTGGGCAAGTCATTTAACCCTGTTTGCCTCAGTTTACTCATCTGTAAAATGAGAAGGAAATGGTAAACCACTCCAGTATCATTGCCAAGAAAACCCCAAATGAGATTATGAAGAGTTGAACATAACTGAAAGGACTGAATAATGAACAAACATGTACAACACTGTGCAAGGTGCTGTACAGAATATCAAAGGCATAAATAACAAATACAACAAATATGTTTTAAGTCTCTACTGTGTGCAGAGCATGTGCTAGGTGCTGGGGAGATAATAAATCAGTAAGAATCCTTTGACCTCCCATTATATGCCATGAACTGATCAAGATTCTGGAGAAACAAAGACAAAAATGAAAATACTCCTTGATATCAAGGAGCTAACATGTCTGGCTGGCTATCTTTCTCCTCTGTCTCTCTGTCTCTCTCTCTACCCACACACACATACACACACACACTTATCTCTATGTATGCATGTGTAAATGTATACAACATAAAAACAAGGCTATTTGGGAGGCATGGCACTAGAAGCTAAGGGGAATAGCAAAAGCTAAATGTATCATCAGTGAACAATTTTTGAATGTCTGTTGTGTTCAGGCATGTTGCCAAGCATTGGGGATAAAAAGAAATAAAAACATAGTCTCTGCTCATGAGGCACTTGAACCTATCTGAAAAGAAACCTGGGACAGTAAAAAGGGCACTAACCTTAGAGTCTAAAAACCTGAGTTTGAATCCTTGGTCTGTTGATACTAGCTCTGTAACCTGAGCAAGTCACTTAACTTCTGTGTCTCAGTTTCCTCATCTGGAAAATGGGTACACTTATAAGATCAACAACACAGGATTGTTGTGAAGAAGCAGCTTTGTAAATCATAAAATAAATATATTTATTTTACATGAAAAATACCCAGTTCTGAGAACCACATTTTGAGAAAGACATTGACAAACTGGAGTACATCCAGAAGAAGGTTGCCAGAGTGATAAAGGAATATTTTATAAGAAGATCAGGTGAAGAAAATTAGGGTGAGAGAGAGAAGACTTCAGGAGACATGATAACTGAATTCCATTATTTCACAGAATCACACCAAATAATATAATCTCAGAGCTGGAAGGTATTTCAGAGGTTATCTAATCTAATTCATATCTGAACAAGAATAAAATATCCAATATACCTTCCAGCCATTACTGGAAGAACACCAATGAATGGAAACCCACTACACTCTAAGGCAACTCATTCACTTTTGGATAGGCTTATAGGTTCATACATTCATTTAGAGCTAGAAAAAAAATTAAAGTTCATATAATTCAACCTCTTCCTTTTATAAATTAAGAACTGAGACCTAGAGAGAAAAGCCACATCAGGCAGAATCAGGATTTGAACTCAGGTCTTCTGATCCCAAACCTAGCACTCTTCCCATGGCACCACAGTTTAGCAGGAAGCTTTTCCTTA